AATGGAAATAATTGAAATAATAGAAACCGGCCGATTTAAATTAATTCAATTATTTCAATTATTTTGATTATTTTGATTATTTTGATTATTTAAATCGGTGGGATTGGTGGCTTGGAAAAAAAACCACCGATTTGAATTATTTCAATTATTTCAATTATTTATATTCTTATTAATTTTATAGGCAACAAATAGGGCGTGAAATAGACCCTAGAGGAGCCTCTCTCATATATATATATACAGCAGAATATGTAGCAGAGAATTTCGTGCTTTCCTGTCACAGTGATAGCGCATCCTGTTTCGCATAAGCCTGTTGTGTTCGGAAGCGGCAGTCGTGAAGACATGAGCAGCACGCCAGTTGCATGATTAGGGTTTACCATCACCATTGTCAGGAGAAGCTCTTGAACGAGGTTGCCTTCATTGCCGACAGTTTCAGCCCGGCTCCACATCCGAACCTGAATGCCGACATCGTCCAGGCCGAGCGATGCGATTCTGGAAGAAGATGCACAGAAAGCCACGGTAGTGTCGGAAAGGTTATTCATTAACCCAGTGCTGGAAGAGGAAAACGAAGAACAGGAAGCGGTTAGAGGGGAGAACGGCGAATAGACCTTGGAGCTGGACATCTATGCAAAGAGGTGCCATGAAGCTGTCGGCGCGAGAGGCCAAACTCGACGCGCTCCACTACGACTCCGAAGCATATGCCTGGATCCACGATCGGTGTCGGACCAAGTTCACACGATTGCAACTTCGCTAACTTCCACGCTGTTGAATCGTATGTAGGTTCAAGCTGCAGCCACACGGGCCGGTTGATGTAGAGAAGCACGCAACCATCTTCGTCAAGGCTTGTCATGAGTGCTTTCTGGTCTGAATCTCTCACATTGAAGATGTTTTGGTTCTGTTGAACAGGGCGTGGTGAAGAGTCTGTACAACGAGCACGTGCTCTCCTCAATAGAGGTCCTCGAGGCCAGGGCTGCAAGGACGAATCCTGTTCCTCTTCAGAGATCTCCAGAAGCACGAAGGAAATCTCGAGTCGGGCCGAAGAGAATTGCACCCTGGCCGAAGCTGCCGCTCGGCTTCGCCATCTCCCTGCTTTCTGCACTTCAGTGCTCTGCCCAGGACCTGGAGCCCCTGACGGTGGCGCTGAAGCTGCTGAGCCACCCGGGCCAGGGCCTTCCGAGGAGCGCCCCAAAACGCCTCCGAAACTTCGTGCCCCCCGCCGCCCAGAGGACCGCCGCCAGCTCCTCTTGCCTTGCCCACAGACAGTGTCAGCGATCTATGTATCTGTATCTATCTACATACTGGTTATATAGACCCTAGACATATCGGGCTCATGCATGCATACATACATACATACATACATACATACATATGCTCATACATATATACATGTACATATGCATATACATATATACATGTACATATGCATATACATATACATATACACATACATACACATACACATACACATACACATACACATACACGTACATGTACACGTACACATACACATACACATACACGTACACCTACACACATGCATGCACATACACATACACGTATATACATAAATACATACATGCATGCATACATACATACATACATACATACGTTTGTGTTTATGTTTATGAATAAATATGTTTATGCTTGTGTTTGTGTTTATGTTTACGTTTATGTGTATGTGTATGTGCATGTGCATGTGTATGCGTATGCATATGCGTATGCGTATGCATATGTGTATGTATGTATGTATGTATGTATGTATGTAGGTAAGTAGGTAGGTAGGTAGGTAGGTAGGTAGGTAGGTAGGTATCAATGCATGCATGTGTGTATTCATGTATCCAACCCCCCCCCCCCACCCC